TGTGTCAAAGTTGTGGGATGTCCAATATTGAAGCATCTGAACACATTTATGGTTTGAAACAGTTCATGACAGGGTGTAGTAAACTGTTGGTGCGGGGGTCTGTCGGCCGTACGGGGGTCTGTCGTTTACTGACGTGGTCTTTACATGACGTCATGTTTGTCCGTGAATTCACTCTCTCTGTGAAGTGGATCCTGGTTTTCTGGTGTTGTGCTGATCTATGTGTCACAGATCTTTTCAACAGCGACTCTGCTCTGTGTTAACCAGACCTTTTACACACACACACGCACACACACACACAAAGTGATCCTCAGCTTTCATCCATGGAGGCCTTTGACACACAAACAGAACGTGTGAGAGCGTTTATTTATATACAGGTGTGAACAGAGAGGCGGCTCCGTACGTTAGGACCAGATGAAAACACCGGTCAATGAGATTAATTAGACGCTTTGTAAGAAATCACAATCAATATGTTTTCTTTTAAATCAAATTTGACACTTTTAATTTTTAAACATTTAACACAATAAACCTCCAAGTTTTTCCAATTCTAATTAATTCTGGTTGACAACTGAATCAATAAACAGACACTGAGGTGAAGCTGAACAAAAACAACGTCTTCACTGCAGTCACTGATCAGAACAACAGCTGTGGTGAAGCTAACGTTAGCTGTACCAGGACTGTAGTAGCTAACGCTAGCTCTGGTGCTGCAGTGAAAAGAAAACTATTTGTTGTTAACAACTACGCTCTTGTCCAAACTGACAACAGGAAGTTAAAAAAAAAAACAACAACTTTGAGCCCAACAATCAAATCACTGTCGTCTCGTCTGCGTTCACTTTTACCCAACTTTTCCTGACGTCATCCTGTGACTCTTCTTCACTGCTGGCAAACACACTTGGATGCATTACCGCCACCTACTGGGCTGCAAGTGTGAGGTTTGTTAGAACTGGTTTTGCGCAAAATAAGTAACTTTTTTTTTAACGCAATAATATGTCTGCGATTACTAACACGTTTAAGTCTCATTTAGACACAAAAGTGCGAGAAATAGTTTCCACCTGGGATGGATACAGTTTCAGCCATCAGCATTTATTAGCTGCTAAATGTGTTAGTGCAGACGGGGATTCCCTGCTCCGCTGTGGGGAAAAAAAAATCCACACACAGAAAAACCCTCTCTCCTTCCTCTTCCTCTTCTTCTTCTTCCTCTTCTTCTCTGCTCCATTACACCATCTCACTCTGCAGCCACAGTATCGCTGCCTCCTCCTCTGCTCTTACCAGCATCCTTCACTCCTTCCCTCCTTCCCTCCTTCCCTCCTTCACTCCTTCCCTCACTCACACTCGCAGACACCCACACACTCCTCTAGGTGTAATGTTACGCTCGGCTTGTTAACATTCCCGAGCCGGCCACTGCACAGTTCCAGATAGCTCTCTTTGTGAGGAGGCAGGAGGTGAGGGATGGAGGGTGGAGACGGGCGCGGTGAAATATGAATAAACAGGCGTCAGAAAGACACGCACAACAGGAGTGGAGCTGACACTGAAACAAGTTCAACATACATCCTGGAGCTCTCTCTCTCTCTCTCTCTCTCTCTCCTGATTCTTAGTGGGTTTTTTCCATACATTTTCATCACTTCATTCTCATTTTTCCTTTTTTTTTTCCTTCTCACTTTCCATCTATGATGACGTCTGTGTTTGTTACATCAACATACATCCTGGATCTCTCTCTCTCTCTCTCTCCTGATTCTTAGTGGGTTTTTTCCATACATTTTCATCACTTCATTCTCATTTTTCCTTTTTTTTTTCCTTCTCACTTTCCATCTATGATGACGTCTGTGTTTGTGATAAACGGCGTTGATGCAGAAACTACACTGCTCTGAATATTTAAAACTCAATGTTGGTTTTTTTTCTAAACATGAAACAGTTCAGTTCAACATGACAGTCGTCAAGCAGTTTTTAATGGGAAGCTGTGAAAGCTCTGCTCACTTTCTGTTCAGCCGCCTGCGTTAATGATGGAGAACGTTTTATTGTTTATTTATTTTGTTGTAATCATTTTTTTTCAGCCTTTAAACAGTGTCAGTTTAAAGACTTTTGTTCAATACAGAAATATCCGTTTCTTTTCTAACCCTTCATTTCTGCTTAAAAAAAAGAATATTTAAATTTGTTGGATTGTTGATAAAGAATCAAAGGTTAAAGGTTGGTATGAAGTGAAGTCCAGTGTTGAATTGCATTTAAATCATTTTTGCTGCATTTGAATTCCTTCACAGAGATTTCATGAAAGGTCAAGAACCGAGGTCACATTATTTCATGTTCATGTGTCATTCTTTCTGCTGGTCTTTGGTAAATTTGGAAGCTGTAGTTTCTGAACGGCAGCACAGAGTCAGGGCAGATCAGTCCAAGGAGACGGACCCTCCACGGGTGATGATGACCGTCCGGGGGGGCAACAGGGGGTTCAGTGAGGGGCAACGGTCCAAGACCTGTCTGCACAAATGTAGACCGTCGCTCAGGCGTGGCCTCAGAAAGATCTAGAAGGACACGATGTAGTCGACAGTTTATCGTCTCACTCTGATGCTGTTAACCAACCAAGAAGTCTCTCTCTCTCTCCCTTAACCAACCAAGAACTCTCTCTCTCTCTCCCTTTCTCCCTCGCTCTCCCTCTGTCACATACTTTGTCCAGACACTGGTATCAGTTCAGGTTTACTGAGCAGGACTTGAACCACATCTCCAGCATAAATTCTCCTGTGTGTGTGTGTTCGTGTGTGTGTGTGTCTCGAAGGGCCGGCAAAATCTGCTCCTGTTATCGATACCCTGAGAGTGTCACCCACGCCTGACTGCCCCGCTGCAGGAAAGAGGAAATGAGAGGATTTGGAGTGTGACATTTGCGCTCGCGGTTAAGAGAGTGTATGGCTCTGTGTTTGTGTGTCCTGTGTGTGTGTGCGTGTGTGCGCGCCACATTTCTCAG